CAAAAGTCTAAGAATGGCACTTTAACATACCACAGAGCCACATTTAAAGTAAATGTGGCCGCATTTTACTTTTTGAATGAGTGAAAACGCATTAATTAAACACACACATTCCCACACATGCTAACATCTGCTCTTCTGCAATCAAGTACTTTCTGCATAGCGTCTGAAGATCTTTTCCAATTGCAATAGTGCTTAAACACTCCAGTATGCCTCTTTTCAGCCAGAGAGAAAAACAGTTGCTATGACTATGTTTGAACATATTTTAAATATATGTGTAATCATTGCCAATGTATCTGCTTTGCAGATACTAGTTTCCTATGTAGTATTTAATATCCTCCTTTATCGGAAATGGAATTGCTTCGTATTATAATTAATGGTTTTCATCTTATTATATGTCTGAATGTTAGAACTGTTGATTTATCTCTCTGTTTATGTGATGATCTTCAGCACAAAGTTTAATGGTCTTCATCTCTACCATCACTACTTGTTATTTAAAGCATTTCCCATCCATTCACTTTAAATGGGATTTTGCAACTTTGCAGGCTTTCAAAGTCAGTGAGATAGGCTCCAGAGAGAAAAGGGAATGCTGAAGAACAGCAATTTGAATTGAACAAATTTAAGTAATGAAGTATTACTCTAGCCATTAAGAAATATATATTAATATTTACATAACATATAATGGATATATTAATAAATAGTTTAAAAAAGATAATTCACTGAACAAAGTATCTTAAAGTATGAATTAAAAGACGTACTTCAATCACTATTTTAATGAAATTAAAATATTTTTGTCAAATGAGGGATTAACAATAAGTGCCTTTTGGTCCAGGAAACAAGTTATCTGGAAAACATTTTGTAAATTATCAAAATGACTTTACTCTCAATATAGATAATCTCTACTCTCAATTCTATTATCAATACCAGTAATTATCATTATGATTCTATTTTATTATCAGGATCATTCAAGAAACTGTTTAAAGTGCTGAACATTGTTTTTTTTTAATTTTTTTTTTATTTTTAATCCTCACCCGAGGACATTTTTCCATTTTTTGTTCAGATAGAGTGGGAGGGAGAGAGAGGAAGAGAGAGAGAGAGAGAGAGAAACATTGACGTGAAAGGGACACATCGAGGGGTTGCCACCCGCACGACCAACCAGGGCCGGGGACAAACTGCAACCAAGGTACACGCCCTTAGCGGGAACCAAACCCGGGTCTCTCTGGTCCACAGGCCGACGCTCTAACCACTGAACCAAACTGGCCAGGGCTGAACATTAGTTTTAAAAAATAAAAAAACAACTTATCTGATGAAGAAGTTATAATGAACTCAGAAATTACAATATCTCCAAATAGAAACTTTTCGGCTGCAGTAAAAACCACTTGAGTGTGAAGATTTTCTGTTTTTCTAGTTTGCATTCCAAATCTCAGAAAAGGGTTCTATGCTTACTGCAGGGTACGAAGTAAATATTTAACAAATAAGAACTCTTGAATTTATTACCTTGAGGTACCAATTATTATTTATTTTGTATGAGCATGACTAGAAGATTTTTATTTCAGCACTATGAATTGATAATGTCTTTATCTAATACCCATAATATTTGTATCAACCAAACTTATTTCAGTGCTCACTAGAAGACCTCACGCACTCTGATTTTCTAGGCTTTCAGTTTTGCATATCACTTCATCAGTGCTTGCCAGCTTCTGACACTGGCATAGCATAACCAAAGAATAAAAACATGCAGGACAAGCACGTACCAAAGAACTAAATGAAACACTTCACAGATGCAAGTCGAGCAGTGCTTAGACATCCATCTGAGTGCTTCATCTGAACAGAGCCCTTCAACCCTGCTGCACGTATAAATCACCTAAGATGACTTTTACCAGTGGCTAGCCCCACTATCATATATTCAACTAGATTATAGTAATAACTTTTGGATTGAGAATTTTATTTCACTGACTGCAAAGGCAGCACACCAACTGATAGCAAATGTGTGTGTGTGCACGCGTGTACTCAAGCACACACATATGATTCCCAGTGTTTTCAAAAATCGTGGGGCAGGGTTTATCATAGCTATTGAGTTTAAGTGCCATTTATCAAGTTATTAAGGTGCAAGCAAGGAGGGAAAATAATTTAAAGACAAGTCTTTTGTTTTTTAAAGCCTTGAAGAAATCTTTAAGATATCAATACGAAATGGTGGAACACAAACATCTTGTTGCTTTCTTTACTCTCTAGTCTGTGGTGATACAAACAACAAATGTTACCCTGGAGTTTAAATTAGGGAAGACTATGTTGTATCAGGTATGGCCAAACATTACCCCTAACTTCCAATTAACTTTTTCAAACGAATCAATGTCTGTTCTCTTTCCTCTTCCCTTCTCCCTTCATGTCAACCCTACCCCCCACCTGTTGCCCCAAATACTGTCTCCTTTACTAGGATGTGTTTCTGTGCTTATTGTTACATAATATGTCAATGATAAAAGATCATAAATGCAGGCAGAGGCATTTCAAGAAGAAAGAAAAATGCCTCTACACATATTTAACGTAGAGATAGCATTTCCAAATGAGTTACAGAAAGCAAGAATTAAAAATTTAATTATGGCAAAAGTTTGCAAATAATGTTATCAATCCTTATAAAGAGGCATGAGAGATGAGGCCGAGTGGGAACGTGGTGTTCTGAACAATGACAATATGCAGTTATTGCAATCTATTATGTGCTACCCTTGAGATTTAGAAGACAGGTCTGAGCACCGTCACTATCACATGTTTGCCATTTTTTTGTTGAGCAAAACATTTAACTTCGTTGGGCGTCAGTTTTCATGCCTCCAAAATGTGGGTTCCCAGGCTAAGAAAAATATTTCCAATCTTTTCATGGTCTAAGAGTTGCTGACCTTAGTGTTTTTGTGCCCTTTGTAAAGGCCAAGTTTTCACAAATGATAGCATTCTTCTAAAAGCCTTTAGAGAGAGGAAAAGCTATATATAGAAAGCCCATTCAGGGTGCAGGGGTTCTCAAGTCTGATGGCTATTTATAACCAGGCATAGGTCAGTAGGACAATACATTTGCTTTAACTAGTAACTGCCCAGGTTTTTTGGAGTTAAAGATAAGTCTTTTATTTTTCTAAGCGTTGATTTAAGAAACTGTTGAAAACAAGAATTATTTTAATGTACTTATTTGGCCTGGCATGGAACATGCTTCAATTGTTAGTTGGCTTGGCGTGGAACGTGATTTAAACGGCTGCATTTGGCTTTGGACATCCATCTGGTTTTCACCCTGCTGTTCAATCATAGAGCTCTCATAGGACAAACATGTGTAACTGGTCAGAGCTCCTACTGTGAGTATTCCTCATAGTTGTTTTGCCCTCATGAATTCCATGCCAATTTACTAAAATTTCAACGCAGATAGAAATTTATAAATTTCTTGGAGAACTTATTTGCATTACTATGACTTCACTGATTTTATTTTAATATAGAGGACTTCACCAAATTCATAGACATTTGATAGAGTACAAAACAAAAGAAAACAAAATCATCATTTTGAAAAATCCTGAAAATAGAACCTCTCAAGTAGAAAATGAGAGAGAGTCTGTGTGTGTGAGTATATGTGTGTGTGTGTGTGTGTGTGTGTGTGGTGTGTAGGGGAGTGGGTTGCAGAAGCTGTAGTATGTTCAATTTCACATTCCTTCCTTTAATAAAATGAATGTTGTTCCTCTTGGGAATACTGAAGACAGTAGCAGCAGATTACAGAGAAATAGCTGCAGTACTATGACAATCCTACCCACCTACAGAAAAATATAAATAATAATTTTAGCCGCTAGTGATTCTGAAATTTCCTTGAACTTTGTCAATATAAAAGAATGCTCTAAAAAACATGTTTTGCAAATAATATGGCCCAAAAGCTTATCAGTAGGCATTCCTATCCACATTCAAATCATTTAATAGTATGTCTAATGTAGGTACTATACCTAAATATAATGGGATGATATGTAAATCATTAAAATTAGATAAATTCTGTCAATTATATCAGTAGTCTGAGATCCAGCCTTTCATCTCATGGATACTTCTGCTATAGACCTTGGCAAATATGTATTCTGTGTTGGTTTTATCATTATCCTTAGAAACATGAGGACTCATTATTCTTTCAACAAATTTTATTGCTTATATTCCATCTGTCAGTTATAGTGCTGGGTCCTCAGAATCAGAAGTAAACACATGAACAAATACAAGGGCAAATACCTTTGCTACCATAGTAACTTTTTTTCTATTAGTCATCCATCAGTCATCCAATATGTGTCTTCACATTGAATACCAACAAGGAGTCAGAGGCTAACCCCCGAGGACATAACTATGAATGAGATGGATAAGCCCCAGATTTGATGTCCTAGCATCTTTTGTCTTGCCACATAATGAGACATCTTTATTATTCCCTTTGCTCGAAGTTTTTATCTCAAATTGCTAATGAAGATAAAATAATTAGTGTGGTTTTGACACACACAGGTCAATCGAAACAGACTTCCTCTTTCTGCTCCCTTTTGTGCTGAGACTAAGACTAAATGTGCCCACAAGAACCAAGTCAATTTCCTCGCTCATTGACGGGGCTGTTCCCCACTTAGAAGACTTGAGGCCAGCGTGGCCCTTAATTTTAATAAGCGGCTAGATCACGCAGACACCTATAAAAATGACTTGTCTTTGGAGGAAATATCCAAAGGGTTAATCTGCTCTCCACATACCTAAACTCCTGGGATTAAACCACAGCCACAAGATCACTAAGTGTACTTGGCAACAATGAGCTAAAAATGGAAAAACAAAACAAAAAACACATCATACTGTTATTGTATCCCTTTTCCTCCAAGGTATTCGCTGATAAACACACAACCTCCAAGGGAACTGGGAACGGCTTTCTTGTAGGGTAGGTGGTATACCCATCGTTTTCCAAGCAGTCATGTCACATCCAGCCATCAGCACACTTTAATTAAGGTGGTTGAATCTGCGCGATTAAGTGTTCTTACCTGAGTGGAAACCTTCTTATCCTTAATTCATTGGCTATGCTGGAATTTTTTTTCCTTGCATCCGATCTTCAGACTGATATGAGAAATTTCTCCTTTGGGAGAAACCGGGCCTTCCCAGAAACTCAGGAAACTGAAATGGAGACAGCAGGAGAAAGAGAAATGAATTATACATATAGATATCAGCTCTTCAAAGTCTTAAATAAATGTTCAAGCACACATCTTCTATATAGTTAAATAATAACTTTAGGGCAAGTCACACTTTATAAGTCTGAATACTCATAAAGTGAACACATGACAAGAGTCCAGGTAACATTTGGTTCTTCCAGCCAAGCAGAGACTTTAGAAAAAGCGCACTTACCCTTTGTTCATTAAGACACAATGTGAGGGCAAACGAAGGCATGTTCTCTTCGTGTTATTTTTTAAATTTACTTTCTTTCTTCAGTTTTTGCCTCGATTTTTAGGAAAGTATTAATTTGACTAAACTTAATTATTCATAAAAATAAACAGAGAGAACTTGCTGAAGGATATTTACCAGAAAACTCAATGAACAATATACATTGCATACATGCACTGTGAGCTCGTCTTTTCAAGCACTGTCACGCACAAAAGTGTGTGTGCGTGTGTGCTCATGCATGCGTGTGGCTCTTTTTGTGACGATATGCAGGAGGAGAGAATTAATCTGTAGCCTGCCAATCAGTGATTAGAAAGACAAATATTAGGGTAAAGGGAAAGGCTACAGCAAATTAAGCAATTCAGTCCAATGGTTGTGCTTCCAAAATAATAGTCACAGTTTTCTGAGTAACTAAGGGAGTGAGCAGTGTCTTCAAATAATAATCCCACCTGTTCCAGACCATCTGCCTATACATTCCAAAGCACCATTCATTGAAAACAAGTGGCGGCATCTCTCCTTCCTTTTATCCACTGGCCTTTCTCATAGACATTATTTTTCTCTTCAAGGTTATGCTTTTTCCTACCTGTTTAAACACATTAGGATCTAGGAAGTGTGACCCGTAATATGCTTTGTCTTGGTACTTGTCCCAGTGATGGCTCTGTAAGGAGCACTGGGTTGTAAGGGGCCATCAATTGTTTGGGATTATGTGCTTGTATTTCTTAGTGAATATGCAGCTGTTCTTGACCTTTACTGATATTGATGTTGAAGAAAAAACTAAGTAACTCTGAAAAGATTCGTAACTTCAATTCAATAAGCAACAATTCTTGGTAGGACCTTTTTCGAAGAACCCACTGAATAAATCAGAGCAAACTGGCTTTCAATGCTGAATTTACTTTCAGTGTTTGAATCTTTTATATGACGAATGTGCACCATGGGCAGGATTCCACTTCAGAGGGTGGAGATTATCATAAACATTGATTGTAGGTGATGTCTAAAGTACAGGGAAATATTAATGCAAGTTGCTATGGCAACTTTAGTTCATGCATTTTATGTTATCAAAATGATGTATTGTTATTCCAGCCTATAAAGGCTTCACTTTTATACATTTTCTACCCACCTTTCCCCAAAACCTCACAAAGAAATAATACTATCATTTCATTATATTCATCTATTTAAATTGGAGTTTGTTGACACTTGTGATCACCAATGATACTGGTATGTGATACTTGTGCAAATCCTTCCCATGGCAAAATCTGGTCTTCACAGGGGAAATTGAACCCAGTAGGGGCCTAAAAGCCGAATGACATACAGCTCTTAGCCAGATTACCAAGCATTTCACGTAGAGGTACAACAGAATGTCCAAAGGCCACTCTCTCTCTGTCTTGGCCATTCAAAGGTCCCTCACCATCCTACTTGTCATCAACCAACTCAGAAATGTTCCATACATTTAAACTATGTAATGTTATTGAATGTCTGTAATATGGCTCTAACCCTACATCACTGGTGCCAAATATGGAAGTCATCAGGAGATTTTATGCTTAACTTTTGAAAATAATTAAAACAAGTTATGCAGCACATTTTTCTTTGTGTTTCTTTAAACAGAGCAATTCTTCCTAGACTGACTTTGGGCACACGTGTGAGTTGCCCCTCACCCCTTATTTTTGGATCCTTTACTCATTTGCTCCATTGATTCATGTTTGTTCTGCCTTCTCAGAAAGTAGCATTAAGTTGAATCTTTATTGAACAATTACATAAGGCAAAGAGAAAAGGCAGAAAACTAATCTGGTTTGCATCGGAACTCAGTTAAAATCTTTCCTGATAAAAGATGTTACTCAACTTACTAGAAATCTCATTTTATTATGGGGACTCAAAGACTCAGGGAAAACCAAGGCCTAAATCATAATAAAGTAATAACAATTCTAGCCATATATTGAGTGCCTGCTTTATACCTGACTCTGTAAAACACCTCTAAAATCATTAATGCTGAATTGAGGATTGACTGATATAATTGGAATGTCCCCTTTACAGATGAAAATAACAAGGCTTGGAGATATTAAGTAACTTGCCTAAAGTGAAATGGCCCAGAAATGGCAAAACCAGAATTAGCACCTTAAACTTCATAATGCCTGACTCTGTTCTTAATCACAGTGTGTGTGTGTGTGTGTGTGTGTGTGTGTGTGTGTGAGAGAGAGAGAGAGAGAGAGAATGAGAGAGAGAGAATTAGTTTAATAGAGAATTTCTGAGAAATGGCAAATATTGACAGGTATCCATCAACCAATCATTTAGGAGCTCCAAACTACACAAATAACTGTTAATCATGTGGCTGAACTAAGGATCTCTCACTCTTGAACTAAGACAGCAAAAGGCTTCCAGAGTTGAGTCCAAGTTTCACATTGACATATACTTATTACTGAGGGGCAACGCTGGATTCAGTAAGGGAAGAGCTCTGAAAATCCCGGCAGTATTCACAGCAGCACGGTTTCACGTGTGGAATAGGGGACCTACAGACTTGGCAGACGCACCTGCCAACTCCTCTGTTCTCGTTTCTGTGAAGGGTAAGTTAAACAAAGAAAAGTGAGAAAAGTGGCAGAGAATGGCTAGCAATTTCTATAGTTTGCTTAATCTCCGTACTAGGAAAGACTATGCAAATGAAAAGAAAAAAATCTTGAAATAATATTTTCAAAACACTTACAAGTGCATATGGCCTCTTTATACCAAATAACTTGGAAGTATGACCTGTCAAATAAATCTAAACTTCTCTGATGCTGGAGTCACTGGCTTTATTTGAAAGTATGAAACATAATCAGAAAGTCTTAAGAAAAAGGGTATAAAAAACTTCTTTATAAATCGTCTTAAAAAGCAAAATTATAAAGTGAAATATGTTAAAAAATATTTTGAAATGAATAGAAAAATTCTATTACTGTTACAGAGGTTTAAAATTTTATTTTGGTTTATTTTTAAATAAATATCCACATGTTTACATAGTTCTTGTGAGAAGGTAAACAGTATTTTAAAATCAGCTTTTTTTATTCTTCATTAAGGCTTATTCTATTTTGCTGTACAGTTTTGTAATTATAATAGAATGATGAGTTTTCTACTGAGTGGATATAACTTATTTACTAAGACATTTTTGTATTGTTGATTCTTCAAGATGGTTCCAAAAATTTGTTCTTAGAAATGGCATGCCAGTGAACACCTTTATTTATATAATAATTTTCTAAATATAAATTATTTATTGGGGTAAGTTTCTAGAATTAGAATGAATGTATAAAAACCTATAAATATTTTTATCTTGCTGGAGATTTCCAAATTACTTTTCAAAAGATAAAACCAAATTTATTGCAAAGAACATTGTCAACATAAAGTAGTCTATATACTTTTTGATTTTGCTAAATTAAACTGAAACCTCATGTTTCATTTCTTTGAATTTTTATAACTGTTGAGGTTGAACATCATACATCTTATACCCAACTATCGATAGATTGATACAGATATAAAGTAGTAATTGCATTTTCTCTCTTTTGTCAACTCTCACTCTTTTCTGTCTTTTTGTAACTTACATACAGAGAGCTGGAGAAAAATCATGTGTCAGGGAAAATTGGTTTTTTAATAAATTAATAATGAACAACTTCCAATGAGTTTTGTAGGCTGGAAATACTGTTCTGACTTACCAGTAAGTGCATTCTAATTCTCCTTAATCACTATTTTTTAAAAAGCCTTCCCCACTCTCCTCAAATTTCCCTTTACCTTCTCTACTTCTCTTGCTCTCAGCTGATGATTTGCCTCATGTCTTACAGATATAATAGAAGTCAGTAACTAGCCCACTGTCTGATCCATGAATTTATTAGCATCCGTACTGATCTTTGTATTCCCTTTTAATATGAGAGTTCAAGTTAAAAGGCCCTTTGCACTGCCTACGGGAGGTATTCCATTTCTCTCATCTTCTCAGATACTTCACAGTTTTATCTGTATTTCCTACAGCCCATCTAGTCCTTATGAGTTATTCTATCAACATTCAACTTATTCCAGACTAGTAACTCCTACTTCAAAAGTAGACACACAACACGAAACCCTCCCTTGATTCCTGCATATCTTTATCTACTTCCTGGCTGAGCTTTTCAAAACCACCTTCACATATCATTTCCGTGTCAAGTCCCATTCACTCCGTAAGTTACTCCTCCACTTGGCTGCTCCCGCCCCACCTCCTTGCCCACTGCCCTGACATCTTCCTGATGAAGCTCACCAGGGATCTCTACATCAGCACAGCCAGTGAATAGTTTTTATCCCAGGATTTCTAAGTTTTTTCCTTCTTTGAAAAAGAAAACAAAGAACAAACAAAAAACTACTTGTTTTCAAGTTTCTATGCTTTTAGACCCTCATAATCTTCTACCAGAGTATATTTTACTGGCTTCCCTTCCTTAATCTGATTTCTAAATATTCTATTAGTGTCATTTGCAACTACATGAAGGTGAAGGGTTATTCTCAACAATTCGGTCTCATAGTAATGATGCTAGTTGCAGCAGTCGATGCCTCTATGATGCTCACCATGTGCCACACACTACGCTAGGAAATTGTTGTACATGTGTGAGTTTATGCTCCTAATAAACCTGTGAGATGAACCTTATTATTATTCCCAATAGTGCAAAAGAGGAAACCGAGGCACTGAGAGGTTAAGTGTCATTTCCCCAGGGTCACACGATCAGTATTTGGTGATGCCTGGAACTTTAGATAAGTTAAAT